GTGTGTGTGTGTGTGTGTGTGTGTGTTGTGTGTGTGTGTGTGTGGGTGTGTATGTGTGTGTGTGTATGTGTGTGTGTGTTGTGTTGTGTGTGTGTGTGTGTGTGTGTGTGTGTGTGTGTGTGTGTGTGCGTGTGTGATTGCGCGTGTGTGTGTATGTGTGTGTCTATGTGTGTGTGTGTGGTGTGTGTGTGTGTGTGTGTGTGTGTGTGTGTGTGTGTGTGTGTGTGTGTATGTGTGGTGTGTTTGTGTGTGTATGTGTGTGTGTGTGTGTGTGTGTGTGTGTGTGTGTGTGTGTGTGTGTGTATGTATGTGTGTGTGTGTGTGGGAGAGGGTGTGGCTGTGTGTGGTGTGTGTGCGTGTGTGTATGTGTGTGTGTATGTGTGTGGGTGGGGAGAAGGTTTGGGTGTGTGAACCATCGTTTGTTTGTGTGTCAGGTTGATTATGAAGGCCGTCCTGGAACGTTTAATGATCGTCACCATATGTGCTGTGTACCATATACACCATACACACATATATGTGCTGATTACTCGTATTACTACTAGCTTGACGTAGGATGCTTTATCACGGGGCAGTATATACGTATAGCATATCAAGCATATATGTAAAGTATAGTCACAGCACTGACAGTGATTATATCAGTATGGTTATAATGTGATTATTAATATTACACTAAAACAGATAGCATAACGTCTATATAGAACTGACACACGCACACGCATAATAATAATAATAATAATAATAATAATAATAGATTTATATATATGCTGTGGCACATTGCCTACATTCAAATATGTTTACATAGCAGCACGCGCATGGTTTAGTTGTTGATTCATTGCATTGCTCTCACAACACACACACACACACACACACAACACACACACACACACACACAACAACCACACACACACACACAACACACACACACACACACACAAGCCTGCGCGCGCGCGCACACAAAAACCTACCTATTTTAATCGGGCTTAAAATCTATTTTAATCACGATTAAAAACCACTGTTCTGATTGGCTGGAATTCAATCGCGCTTAAAATACATTTAAAGCGCAATTAAAAACCACTGTTCTGATTGGCTGGAATTCAATCGCGCTTAAAATACATTTTAAGCGCGATTAAAATAGGTAGGTTTTGGCGGTAATGACCTTCCATACTTGCGCGCCCGTTCAGGCTAAATTGCCTTGACACGAACATAAAACGCATGGCCGCTATGCAGCTATATATATAACAGTGATTCTTTTCAGCCTCTACCAAACTATCTCGGATATTTTGCGTTCTGTCTCACCTTTACAATAAACGGTCTTCAATAACATGTAATTTTGACATTTAATCGTGTGCGCTTTAGACGGAGAGGTTACTGTGGGCTGTACTATAATGTGAGAGTGAGATGGTCCATGTACTGCGACAGAGCGTTAACTTATCTTTTATAAGTCAAATGTCCTCGACTGAAATATAAAACCACTTGTTTGCAGACAAGAGTGATGATCTCAGACCAAGCTTGTAACGGCCGCGTTTTAAGAATCTCCATTAAGCATATACACATCAAGGAGTGAGCTCTAACGTATAAGAATTAGTCATGCAGCATAACTAACTACGTTACAATGACCTAGATCTATATTTAGAGCTCTGTGTAATTAAATATATCATGTCAGCTGTCACAAACCACCATGATCATTACGTGACAGAATGTGTCAATGTATTACACTTCTGATGCTGGCTGATTACTTGACTATACTGGCACCATTAACACAGTATACATCTTTTAATAACCTAACAGAACTCATTATTAGTAATCGATGATTTTACTGTGTCATCTAAACACAAACTGACTGCATGCGGGTAATAACCAAGTCTACTAAGTATGTTTATCCCGTAACGTATATAAAGGATTAAACGCGCGTACACTGTTACCAGTCAAACGTTCGAATTGACAACGCGTGGATCCCACTCTGCTGTTTAGGTAAGTAACTAACTTACTAACTTACTCTCTAACTTTAGGTAAGTAACTGTTTAGGTAAGCACTATAGACTCTGAAAGTACGCTCATATTTAAAAGGTATTGTCCTTAAATTGTTTGAAGTAAAATTAACCTTAGCTCAAAACAAAATTAACGTAGAAATACGTGTGGTATGTCATAGTAGTAGCTCTTCACCACGTGACATTATCTGTTAGCATCATATCATATGATGATTGATTGATTAAAATATCGATATGTTTTGCGTCGCAATCAGATATTTACTTTAGCATAATTACCCGACTGTTAATGTGATGAAAATCTCATAATGACGTGCAACGTTTATTGTGACAATTTAAATAGTGACATTGTTAGTTTAAATTATAATTTACAGTTGTTATTACATTAACTTTAGTTGTGCTACAATTAAGTATATATATATATATATAGTGTTGCAAACGTTATGATTAATTCATAAAAATTCAATAAAATTCTATTTGTTTTTTTTATAGGTCTGCTGAAATACGTCATCGAAATGGTGAAAAATTCAAGTGTTTTGTTCCTGCTCCTCGTAAGTTCATTAATCAAGTAAATATTGTAGCTTTATTTTGTTTTCATGGGGTCATATTGCTATAGCATTACATTTTGGTAAGCATTACTAGTCTACATGCACTCTGTCTCTAAGTTTCAGCTATTGATTTTGCAAAATGTATTGTGCTATAGACTCTGTAACATGTGTCTTATCTGTGTCATGGACAAACGGACTCTAATTGGAAATCTATGTTAGTATCTACAATCGTCCTAATCTTTTCATCCCTATTATTTTCTCCATAGGTTGGCACTGCAATCGTCGCCTGTATAGGTGAATCATAATTCATATTACTTATTATAACTATTATAATATTATACTACTTATTATTTACACAGGACAGATACAAAAACACAAATCGTTGTAAATATATGCATGTATAATCCATGAAGATATTACATTTTCTTTGTCTATCCGCCCGCCTATCCATCAGTGTGCCGTTCTTATTTTAGTACCTGCGCTAATAATCATATATGTCTAGTAATAACATGTGTAATTATTGCAAAATTTTCTTCTAGCTGCAAAACAGACAGATATTTGTGAGAATGAGACAGGACGTCTGAGATGCAGAGGCAGTGAGACCATCCGTATCAAGAACGCGTGGTACGGTTCTACAAGAAATAGCAACTGCAGAGGTGACACTGAAAGATGCAAGTAAGTTTTTGTCATATGTGCATTGATATTGTGACGGGTACGAGCCTTGCAGTGTTTGCCTGGGATTACACGCACCCTCGCATACACGCATACCCACGCCGATAGACAGACAGTCCGACAGACAGACAGACAGACAAATTTCGTATTTATTTAGCATTATATTTTATTGAAACGCTCCAAGTGCCTGTATGGAGACCCGTCTGCGCAGTAGACGCGCCGCAGCCGATCTCTGCACGTTCTTTACGGGATTCATTTACTCGGGAGCGAACAGCTCCTTCTGCGCTCTCAGGTACGTCGACAGAACCTCGACGGCGTCGGGTCGCTTGCGCGGGTCGCGTAGCTTACAGCGGCCGTGCAGCGTGTCTAGGTACCCGGCGACGCGCTCGCTGCGAGCGTCCATGATCTCGTTCGTCTCCGGGTTTCGGCTGAGATACAGCAGACACACGTCAGGCATCTTCCACACGTCCGCCTTGAACTGCAGCTGCTTCAGCTCGTCAGCGCATGCGCGCTGCTGCAGACCGACGACATGCGTGCACTTCTTTCGCGACATCTTCTTCGTCTCCGGCGACACGAAGCGCCAGTCCTTCGCGAACCAGACCGGACACGGCGAGCTCGCCTCCTGAAGGTGGTCGACGTCGGCGGCGACGAGCCGGAAGTCGTCGGTGAGCAGGTACTGCGAGCTGAGCTTCGATAGGTTATTCGTGTCGCACATGATGCGGCCCTCTCCGTGCATGAAGGCGACGATCTGTGCGTAGTCCACGCACAACTGCAGACGCAACGCCGTCGCCGAATTACTGTGTACGAGGTTCGATTCCCAAAGCGCCTCCTCGAGCATCCACGAGTTCTTGAGCGGGTAGTATTCCATGACGATCAGGCATTTTTGTTCGCAGTAACCGACCACGCGCGCAAAGAGAGGGTTCGGCTGGAAGAGCAGGTAGTTTGCGAGATATTTCGAAAAATGGTTCTTGAAAGTCGTCTGAAAACGAAGGTAGGCTATCGTCTGGTTCTCCCAGCGTCCCATAAGCACCTGAAATTAGTAGGAGAAAATGTTCGACATCCATGTATAGGGAGCAATTTTTGTATAATTGCAATGACGCCTATTACAAGATGTTTACGCTAATTCAGTGTAAAAGTGTCTAATCTACTAGGAACTCACGTACAAATGTCAATCTCGACCACGATTGCAAGCATATCAACAGCAGATTACTGCAACCGTATATTATAGAAAGCTTACGTGTTTCATTCCGCCTTTCTTGAGATAACCCGTGATCCGTATCTGACTGATCTCGTCACAGTCCAGCCATGGTCTGCAGGCGCTCATCCCCGGCAAGGCGAAGTATCCATGCTCACAGCTAGGGAAGCACGTGGTTTGATTTTGCGTGCTGTTGGTCGTTCCAAGACAAGTTGTTCCTGTTACTATAAAAAGTGATAATTATAATATGATATGAATACTACATTAATTGTCATTTGTCATTTCTACATATTGTCATTATTAACCTCTGATTATATCAAGAGCGTATTAACCTTCTTAATAATTATGCTTTTGATTATATATATATATATAATATGCATATAATACACACTCACACACACACACACACACACACACACACAACACACACACACACACCACACACACACACACACACACACACACATTATTGATAGATGCATGTAAAAGTGTGGTGCTTACGATTTCCGGAAACTCCATGTTGACTTCGGAAGGGGCGTCGTGCGAACATCGTCGAGAACGTTGAAGAGTCGATTGTGTAGAATGCAGAGAGTAGATAGATGATTCCTGTATGTTAACATGTGATAAATTTCATAAATAACAAACACGCAATGAAAACTGCTTTAATTTAAGTGCGTTAACCTTTCGCAAACTTTAAAATACATATAACGAAAGGCATGCATACCAATGGCGAATATTAGCGTAAATATTAGCTTGGTGCATATTTCATCTACCACACAGATGTGTTATCGCACAAGAAACAAACCACCTGTAGTTACTTACCTGAAGCAAGAAGCCCGTACGGAATGTACATCCGACACATGCGTACCGACACCACCGTCGCCAACATCATTTCGTGTCTGGATGCGCGTTACTGCTTTAAGCACGTAGCAGTCTAATACTCCACTAACCATCCAATAGAACGGCTATACCTATCGCCGTCAACTGATCAAGCCACCCACATCCATGACCGACCTACGCCAATACCTGGGCAGCTGCGCTTACATTGTTAATGCCATTTGTTTAGGAATATAGGCGTGACCGGTTAGGAACCATTTACGTCGACGGGATACCAGGTTAACCTAAGCGGCGTTACCACTTACAGAGGTGGCGCTGATATTCCTAAACAAACACTGAACGAGTTACGAGTACGTAGCGATACGAAAGACGTTGTCTATCTCGCTCTTCCTCGCTCCACTCTCTTTTCTCTCTCCCTTCCCATTTTCTCCTTTATATCTATATCTATATTCTATATCTATACTCTATATTCTATATCTATATCTATATCGATATCTCATATCTAATATCTATATCTATATCTATATCTATATCTATATCTATATCTATATCTATATCTATATCTATATCTATATCTATATCTAATATCTATTCTATATCTATATCTATATCTATATCTATATCTATATCTATCTATATCTATATTTATATCTATATCTATATCTATATCTATATCTATATCTATATCTTATATCTATATCTATATCTATATCTATATCTATATCATATCTATATCATATCTATATCATATCTATACTTATATCTATATCATATCTATATCGCAGAATGTAGTCTTGCTTTATTATATCATTAATTTAGATAACAGTGAGTTCTGGTGGCCATCAACAATCAACAATTAACTTTACTCACGGGATCGTGCATACATAAAGAAAAAACGGACCGTTGTGACGTTACGCTGGGGACTCATATTACAGGAATGATTTTCCGTAGGTGTTCCGCTTGTGATTAGCAGGTATAGCAGTTTGCCCAATTACTCATATCATACATATGCTATATACATATATAATAATTTCCACGATTTTTTAATGAAGACATCCGAAATGAATCTGATTACTCACTTCGATGTCGGCATTCAATAAAAGTAACACTGGCTAAAAAAAAGAACCATGGCGTTACTATCGCATGCTGTGTTATAGATGGGCCAGCGGCTGTCCTTAGAGACACATGCCACTGGTCCTTCCTTACCACAGCGGAAAACGCGACCTCGCTAGTACCGTAACGATGAATTATATTACTGTCACAAATAAATCAGTGGAACCAAAAAGTGACTACTGTGACAAGTGATCTAGTATAAACAGGCTAACGGCAACAACACGAGGAAGGCAGCTGAGTAAAGTTATAACGCGTTTATAACGCAACACACACACACACACACACACACACACACACACACACCAACACCACACACACACACACAACTGACAC